AGCAACGATCGATAATTATTTCTGATCAGTTTTACTAATTATAATTATTACTTCATGGAGTAACCCGGAGCAACCCGTGGAGTACCAGTGATACATTTAACCCAGGTTAGGTTGGGTTGACCATTGATCTGCTATAATATGAACTCAACTCAACCCATTATGTTCTATTAACAACCCTATCCACCTGGAAGGTATAATGCAGAACGCAGTGGAGCATCTAGGTCCACCTGGAAGATATAATGTGGAACGCAGTGGAGCATCTAGGCCCACCTGGAAGGTTTTGATGCGAAGCATAGCGAAGCATTAGTTATCATTATAGATTTCTTACCCAGTTTAAGTTTGAAAAAAGAAAAATAGTAATCTGCATGTTAACAGTTACTAATTAACTACACTTATTTGAACACGAAAGGTAAAGTCTCATTGTTTTACAATACTTGAGAGTGAACAGGGGTGAGAATGAATTTTATTGTAGTGTTTTAATGTATAGTAGCTATCAAAAAAATAATCAAGTTTAGATAATTAATTACCTATTTTCTACTTCTAAATAAAATTATTTATGATCCACGTCGGATGGTTAGGAATAATCATGCCAGTCTCTCTGAAATAATTATTGAATGTAGAAATAAAATTGATATTATTATCTCGTATTATTCAACTTATAACTGGGAGAGGTACATTCTCTACTTCAGAATCACTAAATTCAGACTCTATCTCAGAATCACTAGATTCAGATTCTGTTTCAGAATATTCTGAATTGTAATATTCATTTAGATCAATCAGGCTATTCTCCATATTTTTATCAGAAAAACGAGTTAAAATTATATCTCCATCTCTATCTATTCCGATTAATTTGGAGAATAACATTTCATAGAATATATGTAATGAACGAGGTAATATTTCTATACTATCTTCTTTCCAATAACATTTCCTCTTTTTCTCCCAAAGGGCATTTCTGCATATTCGATAACTATAGTAATCAATATCAACTCCTCGCCCTGTTAACTATGAACTTCCTAAAACTAAATTATATTCAGGTTTGTCAATAACTACAAAATTAATAAATGTTTTGTTTAAATATTGAGGTAAGGATTTTAATTTTCCTGATTCAAAAATATTTGGCAAAGTGACAGAAACTTTTTCTCTATTATCAGGAAATTTTTAAAGGTGAAATATTTCGAAAATTTTTGCCTCATTAAATTTTTGGAGTTATACGACATCTTCGTAAATTTTTGAAAAAATTTTCGAAAATTTTCGAACTGTAAATCTCCGGAATTTTTTGTTTCATTTATTTTCGAAAATTTTTATATATATTTTTATAAATCTCTGCTTATTTTCAAAAATTTTTGCATATATTTTCATAAATCTCTGTTTATTTTCGTAGATATTCGCGAAATTATTATAACGGTATATTCGAGATTTACATACAAAACATTTT